ATGCCAACAGAGAAGATGAAAGAATACCGTCGCCAGGTATTAGAAAGAGACTTTGAGACCGCACGTAAGGAATTTATGAAACAAATAAACGAAATTCTCTCCTTTCTGGCAGACGATGCAACGGAATTATCTCATTTGCAGAGGGAACGAGGAAAATTAAGAGTGCGAATGGATGATTTCACAAGCGCTTACGAAGAGTTATATAATACCTTCGAAGTCGAAGAAGAGACATTAGCCCGGAACAATCACTATGATGCTTTGAGGCACAAAAATCATGAGGCCCTGCTGCTGTTAAACGAAAGGATTTCCGCACTTCAAGCTCAAAGGGATGATCGAAACTCAATTTATACATCAAGAAGCAAACAATCGCGTTCTTCCAGACTCTCGAGGTCATCTGTGGAATCCAGCTCGTCACTTCAAAGGAGGGCTGAGATGGCCACCAAGGAAGCTCGACTTCAAGCTGAGCTAAAATTTCACGACGTGGAGAGCAAGGAAACTGCAACTCTGAAAAGGCATGAAGACGAAGTCAAGAAATTACAAATGGTAAAGGAGTTAGCTGCCACTAAAGCAGAACTAGATGCTATAAGCAAGATAGCAGAAGACTATGAAGACGTCGGTCATGCAAATGAGAAGCTTTTACCGAACGATGATTGTCGTGGAGAGCAGTTAGAAAATTATCTTCCGTCTCAGCTGATCTGTGTTCTTCAAAATGCAGCGTCCAGTTCCACATTACCAGCAACTAACACAACTTCTGCTAGTTATGTAGATGTCAAGGCTAATACGAACGTCACCTTCTCTAGTGGATCTGTCCTTCCAAAGTCGCAGGTTTCGACGTCCGGGGAGGTGTTTTCCGGAGACCCTCTAGATTACCCTACCTGGAAAAAATCGTCTGAAACCTTCATCAAAATGAAGACTAAAGATCCATCTGAGCTACTATATTATCTGGGCAAATATAGGTCGGGAGAATCTAAAGAAGCTATAAGTGGTCTCCTTTCCCTAAACAGCGCCGACGCCTAGAAGAAAGCCAGAAATATCCTAGAAGATCATTAAAGGCAACACCTTTATTGTAGCAAATGCGTACCGAAAGAGAATCAATAACTAGCCCAAGGTCCTACCAAACGATGGCCATAATTTAAGGAAATTCTCAGACTTCCTTCAGCATTGTCTCACAGCAATGAACACTGTCGAGTACTGTCGAGTATCTTAATATCCTCAACGATCCAGAAGAAAACCAACAAACGATCAGAAAACTGCCAAGCTATTTGGTGACAAGATGGAGTAGGATTGTCCACGAATGGGTAACCGCAGATGAATTAGAAGATGACGAAGTTCCACTATCGAAGGAAGGAGTGATGAAGACTGGTTATACCCCTTCACAGAATTCTGCAAATTCGTTAAAAGAAAAGCAAGAATATCGTGCAACCCCGTAACTTCCTTACAAGCGTTTAAGGCAGGTGAAACTAACAAGAGTAACCCTAGAAGAACTAATTTTAATCCACATGAGAAAGGAAACTTTGATGCTAGAACCCTGGCAACCGGCTCGTCGGAGGAAAAGGAAAATGCTGTTGAGAAAACCAGCTCAAGCAACACGTAACGCGTCATCTGTCCCTTTTGTAAGGAGAATCACGAACTAGATCTTTGCGTTTAGTTTCCAAAAATACTCCTTTCCGAAAGAAGAAAGTTTGCTCAAGCCAGTGCACTTTGCTGGGGATGCCTCAAGTAGGACCCTTTGTCTAAAGAATGCAGAGGAAGGAAGATGTGCAATATTTGTAACCGCCGACATCCCACCTCACTACACGACGATGCAGCTGCTCAACGGGACAAGAAAAAGAAGCCTGAAGATCAGGAAAAAAAAGTGAAGATAATTGCAGGAACTCGACTTCTCTTTGCATCGAGGTACCTGGTAGGAAAAGCCACACCAAAGCCACATTACACTCTCTAATAGTACCAGTATGGCTGCACCATGAGGACGACCCGAACACAACGATCATGGTTTACGCTCTGTTAGATGATCAGACTGATGCGTGATTTGTTAAACAAGCCACAATTGAGAGGCACGGTGTAAGTGGACATGAAACTCAGCTTAAGCTGTCCACAGTCTTGGCTGAAGAAACCATTACTAGTCGAAGGATTAACGGTCTTATGGTTCGTGGTGTGAAGGAACAAACAGACATCCCACTTCCTCGAACTTATACCAGGGAACGACGACGATCCCTACGCCCAACGCACTACACTCAGTTGGGGGATCGTTGGGATGGTAGCGCCCGGTAGATGCAATTGCGAGGCAAGGGTGGATGTTCACCGCATCGTTTCATGCGAGGTCCAGTTGGAACCCAAAAAATGTGTTATTTCGCCCTTAAGACGCACACTAAAGAGATTCTGACCCCCGTTCAAATAAACCGAATGTTTGAGTTGGATTTCACAGAGACGAAGGAAGAGGAGCGTTCTCTCTCTTATGAAGACAAAAGGTTCTTATCAAAAGGTAATGAAGGAATTCATCAAAGATGCGATGGTGATTATGAGATGCCACTACTCTTCAAGCAAGAATCGATTATGTTGCCTAACAAAAAGGAAGTCGCCCTGAAACGTCTCAACAAACTGAAAGGAAGGCTCAAGTCTGACAGCAAATATAAGGCAGATTACCTGGCCTTTATGAGCGACATCATTAGCCGTGGTCACGCCGAGAAAGTTCCAGTTGAAGAAGTTTTGACGAAGAATGGGCAAGTGTGGTACATTCCGCACCATGGGGTGTATCACCCAAAAGAGCCAGTCAAGATAAGGGTTGTTTTCGACTGTAGTGTGGAATTTGCAGGCGAATCCCTCAAAAGACACCTCCTCCTCCTCCCGGACCTAACAAACAACTTGATCGACGTGTTGTGCAAGAGCCAGTAGCTGTCATGTGCGATATCGAAGGCATATGTCACCATGCGCACGTCAACCCAGAGCACCGAAACTTTCTCCGCTTCTTCTGGTGGGATAGTGGCATTATCGACAGCGACCCGGAGGAGTGCAGAATGACCGTCCATCTTTTCGGTGCGACCTCCTCACCAGGCTGCGCCAACTTCGCCTTAAAGAAGGTCGCGAGTGATTTCGGACATCTATGTGGAGAAGAAGCAGCTAACTTCCTAAAGAACGATTTCTATGTAGCCGACGGCTTGAAATCCGTTTCAACACCTGAAGCAGCTATAGCCTTAGTCAAGAACACAAAGTTGCTGTGTGAAAGGAGCGGCCTTAACCTCCACAAGTTTGTTTCCAATCACAAAGCGGTAATGGACGCCATCCCTCTTCAAGATCAGTCGAAGGATATTCAGAATCTAGACTTCACCAAAGACAGTCCTCCAGTTGAGCGCGCTCTTGGCGTACAGTGGTGCGTGGAGTCAGACGCCCTCCAGTTCAGAGTCGTAATAAAGGATCAACCGTTTACGAGAAGATGAATCCTGTCAACTGTCAGTTCTGTGTTCGATCCTCTTGGTGTGCTTACCCCTCTGATCCTGACAGGGAAAATCAATTTGCAAGGGTTATGTCGCGACGGAGCAGATTGGGATGACAAGGTTCCAGAACCATTAAGAACGAAATGGGAACGATGGAGAAGTGACCTTCACCTGCTTTCAAAGCTCAAGGTTTCCAGATGCTTCAAACCAAAAGGGTTGGGAGAACTCAGATCAGCAAGGACGCCTATGGACAGTGCTCCTATCTTAGGCTGACAAACTACTACGATCAGATTCACCGTTCTCTCGCGATGGCTAAGTCACGTGTGCCCCCCCTGAAACCTGTAACAATTCCGAGACTCGAGCTAACAGCTACATTGGTGTCAGTAAGGACTGGTGCTATACTCCGAAAGGAACTTGAATACGAGCAAATTACCGAAGTCTTTTGGACGGATAGCAAAGTTGTAATCGGTTACATTTCCAATGATGCACGGCGCTTCCACACCTTCGTTGCCAATAGAGTCCAACAGATTAGAGACCGTACGTCATCCGACCAGTGAAAGTATGTGGAAACGACGCTTCCCGTGGTCTAACCGCACAGAACTTGGTGGATAGTTCTCGTTGGTGGAACGGCCCAGATTTCCTTTGGAAACCACTTGAAGATCGCCCTTGCCCTGATGGTTCTGAGGCCATTTACTTTCCTCCAGGAGATCCCGAAGTAAAAAGGATTACCGCAACGACAACTCAAACTTTAGAGCCCTTCTCCCTTCCCAAACGTATAGAGTACTTCTCCTGCTGGCACAGAGCTAAAAGAGCCGTTGCTGTTTGTTTGCGATTACAGAAGAAAATTCGAACAAGAATGAAGAATCAGAATACAGCCAAACATGAAGACGTACGCACTAACGCTCCCTAGAAGAAACCTGAGGTGGAGACAACGAAGCACAAGCAATCAAGAACAAATGAATACATCCCTGTTAACACTCAAGAGCTCCAAAATGCAGAACGGAAAATTGTGAAGAATTTTCAATGAGAGGCCTTTCAAAGAGAAGAAAACTTGCTTTGCCCCACCGTTGAAAGGACTTCCCAGGATCGCACCTCACTGAAGATCGTGAAGAAAGCCAGTACACTTTATAAGATGGATCCCTTCCTTGACATTGACGGTGTGCTACGAGTTGGTGGTCGCCTGAGAAATGCTGAAATTCCGGCAGCAGCCAAGTACCCCGTTGTCCTCCCGAAGAAAGGACACGTAACAATACTCATCATTTCACATTACCATGACTCCATATATCACCAAGGACGTGGGATGACGCACAACCAAATTAGATCCTCTGGTTTCTGGATCGTTGGAGGAAGTTCAGCTGCAGCTGATTTCATCGCCAAGTGCGCCCATTGCCGAAAAATGAGAGTAGCCCTGCAAGAGCAAAAAATGGCAGATCATCCCGAAGATAGGGTTCAGTCTGCTCCACCCTTCTCGTATTGCGCAGTCGATTACTTTGGCCCTTAGTATATAAAGGAGGGACGGCATCAGCTCAAGAGATATGGCGTCCTCTTTACGTGCCTTGCGTCTAGAGCAGTCCATCTAGAAGTGGCAAACTCGCTCACAACAGATTCCTTCATGAATGCCTACCGTCGCTTTGTCGGTCGTCGTGGTCCAGTCTGTCAAATTCGTTCAGACCAGGGAACCAATTTTGTTGTTGCACGAAACGAACTTCAGCAGGCCCTCTTCGAGATGGATCACGAGAAACTGAGGACACAGCTGCTAAAACGAAATTGCGATTGGGTGGAGTACAAGATAAATTTTCCCCACTCAAGTCATATGGGAGGAGCGTGGGAACGTCAAATTCGAACTGTGTGCAACGTTCTAACAGCCCTTTTGACCAACCATGGCTCACAGTTAGATGATGAATCCCTTACCACCTTCATGACCGAAGCCGAAGCGATTGTAAATTGCCGCCCACTGACAGTTGATGACCTTACCTCGCCAGAATGTCTTCAGCCACGTTCCCCAAGTCAATTGCTGACCCTAAAATCTAGCGTTGTCCTACCCCCTCCTGGATCCTTTCAGCGGGCGGATCTATATTCTAAGAAGAGATGGCTCCGTGTACAATACCTGGAAAATGAATTTTGGGTAAAATGGAAGACAAGGTACCTACACACTCTACAAGCAAGACAAAAGTGGGTCAGCCCGAGGCGAAAGATACGCGAGGACGATGTAGTCTTGGTTAAGGACGAAATCTTCCAAGAAACCAGTGGCAGCTTGCTTGTGTCGTGCGGACATATACAAGTGATGATGGCCTCGTTAGGAAAGTTAAGATTCTCCTTGCAGATTCTGATTGACGATTCTGGCCGAAGGCCCAAATCTCCTGTGATGCTGGAAAGGCCCATCCAGAAGCTGGTCGTTCTAGTCCCTTCCTTCGAAGATCAGCCATGTTGAAGACCGGGTGTCCCCACCGAGGAGCCTGCTATTGCTAGTTACCCTCAAAGGAACATTGTCCTGCTGAACATTTTCGTTTCCCATTTCTTCCTTTTAGTCTCGTCATTCGATGTTGATTGATAAATTGACAATTTAGAGAAGCCAGTAAACGTTACTACAATATTGATCGTTACTGTTGAGTTACCTTAGAGTGACGTCACCAGTACGCAAGTGACCTTAGTAATAGAACGCCCTTGATTATCGTTTTTATGCTCGGCACTAAACTATTCTTTGTTTGTGTTTTACGTTGTTCGCTCCTTATAAGGGATAGTGGTAACGTTGTGACTTTTATCGCTATCGTTTATGTTTTGAGCCTAATTTGTTTCTTCATTTACATGGTTGATCAGTTCCCTTGTTATGTAATATTTGGTATCGGAGTGCTTTCCTTTCTTTACCTTTTCGGGCGTTATTTAGCATAATCGACCATTATGTATCTTTATTGCAGTTTTTACATGTTGGATCATCAATAAACCCTTTGCTATGTTCATCCGTCGTTGATCTAACTCAGTTATCAGCCTATCGCCGTAATACTTTGTGTGTAGTTAGTACTTCAGATAAAACTACTCACTGTGACGTTTGTTTGACTTCTAACAAAAACCTGCATTGGGCATTAGGGGAGGAAGTTTGGGCCAAAAATTACATTTTTGGGGACAATTTTCTCCTTGAAAATTGGAGTTTTGTTAGATAAATATTCAGAAAGCAGTAAAACAGTTAAAAATTTGTTCACAAGATGGCAAAATATCATCCTTCCTCTCAATAAAGAATTTATCAGTTTTTCTCGAGGGCTCCCTTGACGGCCCCTGTTCATTGTCATTTACAAGGGGGGAAGCGTTTTTTGACAAGGCTAAAAAATAGACATTTTTGAACTCATTTTTTCTTACTAGCATTCCGATTTCGATCAAAATTGAAACAGGGTGTAAATATTTCACCCTTTGTGAACCATTTGTTGCTTAAAAATCCGCGGACACTACAGCATTCCCCGAGGGTGTCCGCTTAATACAGGTTTCACTGTATTCTGATCAACAGCGCTTCACAATCATATATTTAAGAGAAAACAAAAATACATTACCATGAGAATAAAATAAAATAAGTTACAAACTATAAAAAATACTTCTTAAAAAGATAGG